TGATATTCGTCACTGTTGATGTCTGTGTTAATCTGTCTAGATTACCGTCATCTGGATCTCTAACATCATTTGCTATATTTTACTCCTTTCCCTACTCATCATTCCTAAACATGGTAATTCTTTACTTTATATCCTTGTAATTTTTAAAAATGAATTTTTTCAACATTTGAGGTTAATTCTTTGATATTCATTTTATCAATAGTGGGGCAATATAGCAACTCATTACTACAATTTTAAGCTGAACCAATAACTAAAATTTCCATATGTGGCTGGATGCCACATATGATCTCTCAGAGTCGCCCTTAATACTTCTTTGTCCTGAGCTTTTTTTTAGCATTAAATATCATCCTGCACTTAGATGGGGATCTGAAGATTGTACAGTTGCTTAGTTACTTGCTTTTTTCATTGCTTCTCATTTAAGCCAATGACTAAATGAACAATTAGGACTTGGGTTGTGTGAGAGATGTGTTTTATTTGGCATGGACCCTAATGATCAGATAATGAACTGCTTCATTCCTATCAAGAGGATATTCTAAAGGATGGTTTCATTTCTTAATGCTGACCCTTACTCTGAGAGGCAGACTGCTCTAATCATGATAGTTAATGAACAATAAGTGGCCATTTGTCACATTTTCATTCTTTATTCCAGGCCTCAGCCAACCTCTAACATAAAGAATTCAAACTATGATGAAATGCTTTAACAGGTAATGATGAGAGAGATGATGAGAATTTTTAGGGCAGGTTCATGCTCCATATGTTCTCTGTAGTAATCAAGTTGAAAAATAGTAGTTTGGTTCCGAGGCACTACACAGTTTGATTCACTGGACATTTATTGACTACCCTACATGTACCTCATAAGAGCAGAAAGAGAAATGAATATCAAGGCACAAATCTCTGCCTCTCATAATTCAATAGTAGGAAGTTAAGTTCTAATCAAAGTTTAAGTAAATTAGGTTAAGATATACTTGGTTACTAGATTTGTGTGCAGAAAATATAAATTCAGAGGAAATATCAGAAGTCTCTAGAAGGTATGAAGACCTTTAAATTGTGTCTTCTGTACCCTTGGCTTGTGCGTACTTGACTTTGAATATAAACATAACCCGACATTTGGAAAGTTCACAGTTAAATTGTGGAAGTTCATTAACTGCATGATTAAAGGTGATTAAAGGTGTTTAAATTTCCATAATCCATTTACAAGTTTTATCCATTTAAAATCTCTAAATTAGCAGTTTTCTCTGCTTCTATTATTCAGGTCATTGCACCTTAGTTGAGCTAAATGTTTAAGTGTTCCCTGTAAAGAAAGCAAACAAAATTTAAATATCTGCCATAGGAATGTCAAAATAGGAAATTAACCAGTAGTCTGAATAGAAAACTTCCGTTACTATTTTATTTCATCTTTCCCTCCTCATCACCATATATAATTATAACTGAAATAATAAAATTTTGTAAAATATTTCCTTTTAAAATAACTGTATAAAACTTAGGTCACTTGGATTCCTTTGGCACATAGTATTATAAATAACAAAGGCACTAAAATAGGGTTATTTTCATTGTAAACTTTAGTTGGAAGATAAATCATAAGAAATTATGTAGAATATATGGTACATCATATCCAAGTGAAAAATGACATAACATTTTATTTTAAAATACTGTTATTAGAATATTTTCTCTAATAATTTATATTTTATGCTATCGATTAGCTAGAACAGTAGGATAAGCATAAGTGGAAATCAAAATTACGTTGATAAAATGCACAACATTATTGGTCACCAAATATTAATCTCTCTAAAAGGGGTTTTGGTAATAAGAAGAGAGAATTAACAGTTTGTAACTTTTTTTTAAAAAAAGTAATTAAAGTTACGAAAGCATCAAGATAAAATTATTATTGACTGAACTTTTAGTTAACTTTTGTAATGCTGATAAGAACTTTTTGATTCTTTAAAGAAGTATTTATTTAGTGTCTATTGTGTGTGTCAAACTTTGTGGAAGGTACAAATATCTCTCCCAAGAATCTTAAAATCTAGTTTCAGAAATGTCAACATAAGTAACTACGATAGTTGGTAGAACACCAAAGACCCATAATCGAGATGCAGAAAAAGTAATATGAATGTTGAAAGGTGGGAGTATCACTCCCAACTGGTGAGATGGGGGGTGAGTTGAATCGCCAAAGATTCCACAGATCAAGTGGCACTGCACCGAGATGGACCTTTTAGGGATAAGTCAGTAGTAATTACTCTATAGGAATGAAGGGAGTAGTGACATTCTGCCTGACTGAGACATGGAGGAATTGAAGATCAGGAGCTGAAAAGTTTTGGAAAATATGTGTGTGAGTTTATGTATGGAGAGCCTTGAGTGCCAAGTTGAAGAGAATCCTTCGATTCTATTCAGTGAATATATATCAAGCACTTTACTCTTTGTGTTGTGCTAAAATCTGTGGATATTTTAAAAAATCCAGGCAGCAGGGTCTTTCTCCTCAGGAAGTTCACTTTGTGCATTTTGTAGATGCCATAGATGTCCGGACTGGAGTAGGTTAGATGGATTATTGGATACTTTTGGTCAGAGGAGATCTGGGCTATGATTTGGGAGTAATAATTTGAAGGTGATATGTGAAATAAATCAGAATGGAGAAGACTTGGGCAGTATACCCTCAAATGTCAGCCGTCCCAATTTTATTCAGTTCTGAAAAGGACATCTCTTAAAAGAAGAAAATGAAAAATACCAAATTACATTTGCAGGCTGGTGTGGAGGACAATTCTAAGTGGAATGAGGCTTATTTTCAAGAATCCCACGTTAATGTTCTAATTTCATGTAAGTGAAGGTACTTCTGACATGGAGTAGTCACTAGAATGATTTATTTCTTTAATCTGCACAACTGCATTTACTAGTGAGGGCAGAGGCATGGTGGCAGACCATGCAGGTACCAGTGTTCTGCCCTCGCAGGTGATCTTCTCAGCAGCCCAGGATCACAGCAAGAGAAAATAAGTGATGCCAAGTTCTTGGGTGAGAGGGGAGAGAGTGTTGGAGGAGAGGAAGAAAGAGACTTTGTTGAAATTGAAGAATGGAATAAATTGGTAAAAAATTAATACAACAGTTTTAGAGCAAAGGAATATGGCATACTTTTTTTTCTTAAACATTTTATTCACGTTATAGAGGGATTTCTTTTTTGTTTCTTTTTTTCCAATCATTAGGAGAATGGTTGAGGAGTACTGAATCCATCACTACTTTGATGACACAGTTAGGATTCCAGATTCACATTTCCAGGTACCAAGAGTTCCCTCTAAATGCCACTATCAAGTCAGCCTTCTTATACATTTCTTTCTGCTGAACGCAGCAATGCCCATTGGTATCTCTGAAGCATAATCACACCTTAGGTCGGTATTCCTCCAGGTAAAGCGGCTGTTTGGAACTGAATGCTCCCCTTCTTTTTTGTCTTACAAACTGAATTGCATCTTCGTACTTCATTCCACATTCAATCAAAGCAAGTGCGACCAGCACAGGTGCCCTTCCCAGTCCTGCAACACAATGCACTGCAACACAACAACCTGGCTCTTCATGAAATTTGGTTTTTAGTAGGTTTAGCCAATCGTCAACTATCTGATTAGGGGGTGGCGCTCCATTGTCAAAAGGCCAATCTAGAACGTGGATTCCTTCTTTTTCAACTGGTGCTTTATCATATGTAGCATCACAAACTTGAACCAGAGTTGTCACACCATACTTCTTAAGTTCCTCTGTGAACTTGTTGAGGGTAGCATTGGTAGGGTTGTGGGTTATCAGAAAACGCATGTTCTCATAGGAGATCTCCACAGGGGCTGGACAGTTTATTATGACAAATAAAAAGTGTGAGCATGCGTGTGTGAGTGTGATGGGGAAAATTAAAAAAAAAAGCAATAAATCTTGAAATGTTTCACAGCAGAAAACATTAAAAAGACCACTAAAATGCCTATTATCGATCAGTGTTTTCTCTATTCAACTTGTTTATTCTTTAAGAAGCTTCTCCCTTCAAGGTAAGCAGAAGTATTTAGAATCCACTTGAATCCAAATTCAATTTGGGCTTCAATGTCTGCTGATGGATACCTTCGGACTCCAAAAAAATCCAACTACATATGAAACTTAAGCAGCCTTTACTACATTTAGGCACTAGTGAGACAAGTTAAAAGAGTAGGTCGCTTTCCACTTTTGTTTACTTGATGCTTAATTTTACTGGAGTCATTAAAAGGTATATGCTTGCAATAAAAAAAAAAAAGCCAACAATTTCTGAGGCCAGTCTCAGTGTCCAGAGTGTTCAAGGCAATGTTAATTATGGCACATAGAACCTCCAAGCTCACTTGTCAGCGGAAACGCTGTGCTGAGCCTGGCAGAAGTCTGCCCTCACGCTCAGAATCGCCATAAATGTGCAACGTATATTCCAACGAAAAACGCTGGCGAGCTGGGGACTGGGCATTGAAGTCCAGCGGCGGCGGGAGCGGTGGCGGCGACGCCCCACCTCCCCCCTCCAGCCTTGGCGCGCAGGAATATGGCATAACTTAATGCTAAATTATTGCTCTAAAATTCTGCTGCTGAATTATTAAAGTAATATGACTTTTCTCCATATGCTAGGTAGAATTCTAGGATGTCCCCTAAGACTCCTACTCACTGAAGGGCATGTCCTGTATAGTTCCTTCTCCTTAAGGCTAGATGGAACTTCTGAGTATGAGGATATCTCCCCCATGAGCAAATTAAATCGTAGTACAAAAGTGAAGGGATTTTTGCTGATGTGATTGTGATTCCTCTAATTAGTTGACTATGAGTCATTCAGAATTCTGAGTGAGCATGAACTTCAGATGAGCTCTTTAAAAAAGGGTCTAGAAGTCAGGAATGCTCTCTGCTACTGGATTTGAAGAGTAAGTCACAGTGACTTATGCAACATTGAATTCTGCCAATGACCACATGGCTTGGAAGAGGACCCCAAGCCTCAGATGTGACCGTTGCTCTGGCTGACACCTTGTTTGCTGTCTTGTCAGATCCTGAGCAGAGGCCCAGCTAAGCACAGTCCAGACTTTTGACCTACAGAAACTGTGAGGTAACAAATGTTTTTTTTTTTTTTTTCTAAGTTGCTTAATTTGTGGTAATTTGTTAACACAGCAATAAAAATTTAACATACTCCTCATTGGATAGGTATTCTGAGGGGGCAGGAGAGTGGGGATAATATATATGGAAAATATGTTTATTAAAAATTGAATGAAAATCCATTGACAATGCTTAGTGGATTACTTAACCTAAAAATATTCAGGCTAGTAGATTTCTTTCCCCTACATCTGGCTCTTACTTCTAAGAGTTAGGTATAGTTTGGGACAGAGCAGTCCATCAATCAGGGCATAAAATGGCCATGTGATACTGTGTCAGAGAAAAAAATATGCCCCTATTTATCTCACTTGATTATCACTGGGAAATTATCATTGGTTTGCTAAAGGGAGGAAATGGGCTTATTTTGGTTAGAACTAGACATGGATTTGTTGACCATCAGTTAATTGTTAATTTAAAGCAAAACTACATGACTCATTCTATGTCTTTGTTTCTATCTGGAAAATATTAATATTTTCTTTATATTGCACTGACGAATGTGATTAAGAACTGAATCAAGCATTGGTGTATCATAGAGACATAGAAATGATGGTCATAAGTTTTATGCAAGTGTAATATTTGTGGAGAGTTCTGCTCCCTTCCCTCCCAGCTTTCTTGTTTGATTCTTGGGATAATAGAAACTGATTCTTGAAAAGGATGAAGAAATTAACAAAAACACTGTAAGCAGAGTAAAGCTCCAGAGTTATATTAAGAAACAATTTAGCAGTCTTTAGAAAGTAAGAGAAAATAGGGTGGTTCTCTATAGGGTAGCACATGGAATTCGGTTATAAGAAGTGCTTCAATGCAGCAGTAGGAAGGTTTATTTGTCCATAAATGTGTCCTCAGCAGGATGAGCTTGGAAAGGCTGCTTCCTTCACCCATTCCTTCTGAAGTCTGGATTTGAAGGCCAATGCCTCATTGTAACAGTAAGGAATGGAAATCAGATAGTAACAGAATCTCTCAAAAACTGAATCAGAGGCTGAGAGGAGATAGAGGATCCCAAGAAGGGAGGGCAGAGGAGTAAGAAGGCGGGGAAAAAAAAAGAGGGAGCAATAGAGAAGACATACCCTAATGTCCTTTGATGAACATGTTTTGTATTGTCTACAGAAGAGGAAACAAAACAAAGTTTGGCATTATTTTCTGGACTCTGTGTATTTGATCTTAGAATTTTAGAACTCTTTGGTAATGAAGTGTATTTTTAATTCTTTCAGACATTAAGGGTGTAGCTATAAGGTTATACTTCTTTGTTCATTAGGATTGTAAGTGTCTAGAGAATGTGTAAGTCAACAAACAGGATTTCAAGTAATTTTATTATTAAACTACAGAGTTCATATCTACATGCATGTATGTAGATCTGAACAACATATAAATCTGCAGCATTTCCTAGCAAATTCTTATACATAATGCATATTATATCATATTAAACAAAATCATAAGAGTTCAGCAATAGTCTTCTGTATTCTAGTAATTATATGTTTGCCTTGCCCTCAAGTCATCCTAAAATTGCCAGGGCCTAATCACCTCTGAGCTCATTATCTGGTCGGCTCATGGTAGACTACAACACACTGTCTTTGGGAGTTTTAAGGCGGAAGTTAATTCCTTCTTTTCTCATGTGAGGGAGTGGAATGATTCCTACACTATCCCTTCAGCTGCCTGGATGGATGTCTCCTTAAGCAAAAATGGAATCTGGAGGAAGGAAGTTGTGGAGAAAAGTGAAGGGGAAGACTTTACAGTAATCCCATGACCCCATAGTGAGAGATTTTCTTTGTCCTCATCTACTATGTTCCTTACTGAATAATATCCAATTCAGTATTTTTCATCCTTGTGGGGAATTAAAATTCACAAATCATTTTTACTGGGATTATGGCATTTTAGGGTACAAAGTATATACATGCACACTTTCATATTCAGTTAGCTTTATTCAGCTTAAAGTCTCTCATTCTCTTTATTGTTTTCCTACAACCACAAGTTGACTAGCTGTGACCTTTGGGTCATTCTAAATTTTGGGGATAATACAATTGTACTTCTCATCCTACCTAAGCAGAAGCGCTAAAGGTATTTTTTTTAAACCATTTTTTTCCTATTGAAGTATAGTTGATTTACAATGTTGTGTTAGTTTCAGGTGTACAGCAAAATGATTCAGTTATACGTATACATATATCTATTCTTTACCAGATTCTTTTCCCATATAGGTTATTATTATAGCATTGAGTAGAGTTCCCTGTGCTATACACTAGGTCCTTGTTGTTTATCTATTTTATACATAGCAGTGTGTATATGTTAATCACAAACTAATTTATCCCCCCATCACCTGCTAAAGGTATTTTTTTACCACATAATTTGTCCTGAAAATGCAGAGTACTTTCTCTTTGGTCTCTATTATTTTATGACAAAAATATTATCCTTTAATTATCTGTATGTGAATTCATTTATGTATTTTGCAGAGAGATGTGAATGCAAATGGTTCTAATAGAGCAAGATCAGTGGTAACAAAGGCACTGAATTCTTCAGGAAACTGAGGATTGAAAAGCTTGAAAGGCTGAGCTTGAAAGGCTGAAGGCTATCTGAGGCCTCTGACCATAGAAAGTTTATCGTAACTTCTTGGCTCACCTGTGCCTTTAAAAATTCCTTTGTCCTTTGTCTAAAGTGGTATCTAGTGTAGGGCCATGACTTGCACTAATCGTCAACTCTTCCTCTAGAATCTTAACATGTAACTTCTTTTAAAGGAATTTGGTTCCCCGTGCTCTCCATGGCTCTCTGTTCTCTGCTCAAACCCAATGTGTAAAAATCATGAGTTTCTAATCACAATCTATCAGGAAACCACTTAAGACAAGTTTTTCTTAGACATTTATCTTTCAAAAGGAACACCAGGATATGATATAAACACACCTGTTACTATTATTGTGTGGTTATTCAGACTCCTGTCAGCCTTGTAGTTTTATTTTTTAAAATACTGTATTTTTGAAGAGGGAAAAAAAGCTTACCACACAATTAGTAGGACAGTATTAATCGGGATAAAGGGATTTTTGAACTGCGTGAAAGGCTCTCTTAAAGCTGATGTCCTTTTTTACAGTTCCATCACTGACTTAGTTGAAAATGTGGAAAGCAGGCTCATTAAAAATATGGATGATCAAAGCTTGAAGAGGGAATGGAGATGTTTGAGGACAGAATTAGGATTTCAAGAAGATGAATGATGGCTAAAATAATCAAGTGGAAATATTATAAGGATATATGTAAATGCTGAACTTGAGCTCTAAAAGTCAACTGCACAAATACAGGTTAGGGCAATACCTGGCTTGAGAGCAGGTGAGCAGGTGTTCATCAGTACTAATTAACAATAAAGCAAAGCAGGAAACAGAATAAGCTATGGAGTTTCCATTTAAGCCAATAATATGATATGTTCTCTAAAATAGCTTATGTAATCTTACCCTACATAATCTTATTAAAAAGAATAAAACATCCTATGTAAATATATATATTTCTGTAAATATATTTATGATTCATGTGTGTTGATATAAATTGTAGAGTGAGGCATGTGAAGCCATACAGATAACAATTACATTGGCTAGCTTAGGGGACTTAATTTTTTTTTTTTATCCAATCCTGTTTTAAGAATTTGAAATTACAATTACAGTATATAAAATAAAATAATGTCGGGCTTCCCTGGCGGCGCAGTGGTTGACAGTCCACCTGCCGATGCAGGGGACACGGGTTCGTGCCCCGGTCCGGGAAGATCCCACATGCTGCGGAGCGGCTGGGCCTGTGAGCCATGGCCACTGAGCCTGCGCGTCCGGAGCCTGTGCTCCACAACGAGAGAGGCCACAACGGTGAGAGGCCCGCGTACCGCAAAAAAATAAAATAAAATAAAATAAAATAATGTCAAGGGTACATGGAACTCCTAAAGAAGTAAAGATAATAATAGCAACAATAACTATATTCCTGTTATACTTGTGTAGCAAACTACAGTTTATGTTATGTAATAAATTATTTTATTATTAATTAAAATTATTCTTTAATTTTAATTGGTTCCTTACAACTCTATAAGATAGGTAAGGTAGGACTTCTTTTACTTCTAGGTATTAATGCAAACTCAGGGAGGCGAAATGATTTAATTTGATCTGAGTTCCAGTGGTCATAACAATAACACAAATATGTCTTTCCAGAAGCATTGCTGTGGATGAGTCAGAATAGCATCCAGAGGAAGAAAGTCCTGGTTTGGTATTCTGTGTTGAATGTATGCATATCTAAATGGGAAAGTATAATATACAGTGTAAAATAATATCTTAGCATATATTTTATATAAATAATATAATAGAAAATAATGCACTGTAATGTAATAAAGTTAGAGATTTAATCATATATTCATTTCATTTAATGTTTTAGTAGGCATATTAAAAAACTGAAATTCATCAAAGATAGACATAGAAAGTGTGCTAACATTCTAAAAACCATGGCTTAGGAAATTAACTTGAAGGAACCGAGAAATGGTTTTAAAGAGCAAGCTCCAAAAGAGTCGGGATCATTTCTGTAGGCACAGAATAATTATTTGTTCAATGACATAATTTCTGTCATTATTTATTTGAAGAAAAGACATTTGAGTTATTTCAGAGGATAGTCATAGAAATAAGAGCTGAAAGTTATATTAAGACAAATTCCAGCTATATTCATAGAAAGAAGAAATTTCTCATGACCAGTGCTTTTTTGAGGCTTTTAAAAGTATTTGGGATCACTCCACTGCAGGAGTCTCTTAATTTTAAGTGTCTACATTTTAGTTTAAGTACCAAAACCTGTTTTGCTAACAGTAGAATATTTTTCAGGTAAAGAATAAGCTATATACATCTAATAATTTTCTACTGAAACTTGGACGATTGTCAAAACTTATAAAATAATTTCCATGACCTCAAGGAAAGACTAAATAATGCATTGTGCTTTTGAACTGAAATATGCCATGTCAGGAGT